ATTTATAAAATAAAAAAAAGAATCTGTTTGGTGAAAACATAATTCCTTCTTGAAATAAACACACCCCTCTATCCACCCTATTTCCATTTAGGGTATCTCCCTGCGCCCCGCAAGTTATCTAAATTCAAAATTTTAGAACAAGGCATTGGGCCAACTCATTTTCTTACTCACATTCTATAAAATAATCTGCTTGTTGCCCCTGCACGATCTTTTCTATTCCAATGTGTTTCCAAACTTTAGAGTCTATTGTACCTTCTGCCTATGCCATTATAATGACCTTTTACTCGGTTTTCCCAGGGCTGCATTTCTCAATTTTACTTTCCCATATGCACCATATATAGGGTGGGGCAAAAGCAGGCTGTCAGTTGTTCATATGGAAAATAATGCAAAAATTAGTAAGTAATAATACAAGAATAAACTCTGTTTCATGTACTCACAACTGTAAACCTACTTTTGCCCCACCCTGTATTCATTACATCATATAAATGGCTATCTTAAATTATCACTTTCATTATGCCATTCTGTTTAACACCATTCTGGAATACAAACTCCTAATTCTTAGTATGCTAGTTATGACTTCCATTTGGTTCTATCATAATTTCCAGTTCTGTTTTCCCTGCCCCTTCCTCTCTGCCTCTCAAAGTTGGCAATATAAACCATATCTGCTTATTATTTCTTGGACATAGCTCATCCTTTCTGAGCTCAATCTCTTTGTTCATGTATATGCCTCAGCCTTCCAGAACTCTCTCTTTTCTCCTTCTTTTGCTAAAATCTTCACCTATAAAGATCCTGTCATTTCAAGATTCTCTAAGCTTCCCACCTATGGTCTATGCCTTCTAGGATCAATCAAGCTGAAAGTAATATCTCTCTTGTGCATTTCTCTAGTACCTAGTTTATGTCCCACAGAAAGCACTTACTATGTAGTATTATTAACTGCCCAGGTGTTTTCTCTTCCACTCTCTCCCCACATTACACAGTATATTCTCAAGGTCAGGGTTAATTTTTCATAACTTTTTAATCCTACTGCATTTGACATAGAGTCTTGCACAAAGCTGGAACTTGATTTAAAAAAGAAGTCACATGAATTCAGACTAAAACAATTACATCTAGAAGAATAGAAGCTATATAAACCTCGTCATTAGGAATTACTCCTTTCTAACTCTAGAGTTTACTAAAGTGGGTGACTTTGTGCTATGCAAATTCTCCATTCTTTTTATTTAGAAATCCATATGTTAATGCAGAATTTGGCCTGAGTCCCACAGGAAGAACAAAACCATTTCATTTAAATGTTCCCTCTCGTCCTCAAGAGCCAGCATTTTTTGATATGCATAAGTGGGAGAAAAGACAGAGGAACAGTGTTGTGTTTTCATGGTAACTTCTACCGAAAGATCAATTTTCTTAAAGAAAACAACACTAAAAATAAAAAAAACTCAAAATGGCTATTTTGGTTGAGTTTTCCCATTATAGAGATATATTTAAATATAATATAAGGTTTAATTTTACAGCACCCCCTCCCAAATTAAATACATTTTTAATAGGGACATTTTTATAATAAATATATTTCTCTGTGTTCTTCAGTAAATGGCAATGTATTGAGTATCCCTGTTGAAGAAACAATGTCAGAATCTAAAACTTAAAATTATATGTTTTTGCTAATTTAGATTTGTTTTATTATTTCAGATTTTGATCAATGGAATTCTTCTAAGTAAATTTTATAGAAAAATATGGCTTTTGTAGAATAGGAAAATTAATAAATTCATTATGGGACATCCTAAAGAAATGAAATAGGTATTTTATTAAGAGAGAAATATATCCCAGAGGTAACCAACAATCTTTTTAATAAGACAATAAGTGGTGTGCACAAGGATTACAGCCACGTATTTTACTTTGTATAATCATGATCTGACATGAGCATTGCTAAAACATCCACAGAGACCCCACATACAGCTACTGATTGTTATAGTTGGACTTTTAAACAGTGGAAAGAAATGCTTTATGAAAAATAAGAGTAAGAGTAGATTATCGTGTAGACAACAAAAATAGAGGAGATAGTGAAACTATTTAAATGTGGAATGGGAATTGAGATCTGTTTTGTTATGTTATATAAGCAGGCAACTAAAATTTATTAAGTTAAAGCATAGAAATGACAATGCTTTTATGACAAAGTGAATAAATAGCTATGAGCAAGAGAAATGTTAGATGAATACCTTAATTTAGATCAGATGCTAACGGCTAATAAATTATTACATGGCTATTGTTTAAGTAGATCTCTTCATTTCAGAGGGAAAATGTACTGTATTTTATCAGTCTTGCCTTGGTGACATCTCACTTCCCTGGATTGCATACAGAAAACCAAAACACAATTCTTAAAACAGATATGGAAAGACCACATCTGTAGATCCATTGACTGTAACACCATTTACTTACTGTTAAGTATGAACTTTGTATTCTCTCCAAGTCCATAAAATAATTTATCATTACCAGATAAGGGATGTATCATTTGAATAAAAGCATTTTTCAAGTGCAGTCTGTACCACATTTATGAAGTAACTTTTGAGAGTTTCTGAAAAAAATGGCTTTGAGTTGGAGATTAAATATTGATTTTATGATTTGGCTAGTCATTTAAAATAAATAATCTCATAAATCAGGCTTAAATCTGGGGTTCCTCAGCCTCTTTAATTTTTTAGGTCAGGCCAAATAGCTCAGATAGCTCTTCCCCTCTAATCCACTATAATATGCGGAAGAAGATCTTTTGATCAACCACTTAACAAAAATAAAAGTGACACTCAAGTGACATACTCAGTGAGTAAAGGTTAAACTTAACGTCATTTATTATGTACATTAAGAGCAATATATTAGGCGATGTAAAGAAAATCAAAAAGCAAGAAAAGCAAAAAACCTGATTCCTGTCTTCAATTAAGTTATTAGTAAGTTTAAGTCCTCACATTTAACCCTTTTCTGAGAAATGCCACATAAAGATGCCCAACTCAGGCATTTACAAAGCTATGCCTGTAGCAAACCTCCCCCAGAACCTCCTAACTCCCTTTTCCTGCTCCACTTTTCTCCAAAGCCCTTATCACTGTCTGACATGCCATACTCATCCGCTTTTGCTCCATCGCCTCAGCCTAGGCTGTAAGCTCCCAACAGGCAGGGACTCTTGTCAATTTTGCTCACTGCTGTGCATCCAGTGCCTGGAAGAGTGCTTGGCACTTAATAGGTATTCAGTAAATATGAGAAGACCATTCTTACTTTGGTTTCCTGGACTTGTGTCCTGCATTTCCTCTCTAAGTGTAAGTGCATTTTTCTATCAAGCTTTCTCTTATGCACACAGTAGCCCCGGTTTCTGTGTGGTTCTACTTCTTAGGTGTGGGAGAGCTTCAGCAGAGTGGGGATAAAGCTACTCCCCGTGGGTTGTTGTGAGAAACGAATTAGGGAATTCATAGGAAGGACCTAGCACAATGTCTGACACATGAGAAGTGTTCAATAAATGTTAGCTGTTATCGTTCCCACCATTACAGCTATTAAATTATTCTCTTCTGTTACAGCTCACCACTTCTTAAAAGTACCTCATGATTAATGAAACAAAGGACTTTTAGATTCAGGGCTAAGTTTGTATGTGGTTGAATCTCCTGAAAAAAAACCTACTTTCTGGGTGGGTTGCTTTCAAGATGCATTAAGCTTCTTGTTATGCTCCCACAGGACTGTAGGCAGCTCTCTATAGGAATCACCGCACTGTATTGCAATTAGCTGATTATGTTCAGTCTTCTCTGCTACATCGTGTGGTCTTTTAGGGTGAGAAATCTTTGTATCCTATCACAAAGCAGGCATTCTATAGATGTTTGTTTGCCCAATAGATGAGTTACTGTACAGAAATGAGACGGATTTCATTTGTAGTCACATCACACATGCACTGTCATTACAAAATTACATTTCTCAATAGATGGTGTAGATCCAGAGAGCAGGATAGAGGTCTTAGTGTCAAATAGTGATGCAGAGAGCAGAGTGGAGTGTGTATGAGAATAAAAGTAATGGAATGGAATGCAGTGATGTGCTGTGAATAAAAAGTGCTTAGAAGACCAATACAAAACCCATTCTTATTTTCTCATAAGTGGTTCCTCTATTTCAATAGTAATGACCTAATTTATATCCATCTTACTTTATGGAAGTGTGACTACCCAGGGAAAAAGTCAAATAAAAGCATACTTGATAAAGTTGAAAAGCACAGTTATTAGAAATTAGGATCGTGGAATATGAAAAAGGTACACACCTATTTGACTATATGTAAGAATCAAAAAACACTTGTGAGGTTCGAAAGTTCTTAGATATTTAACACCACAACAAACAAACTTTCAAGGAAACTAATTTTAAAAGTCTTCCAAAAGCAATTATTTAGAAATGCTAACACCTGTATTTTGATGATAAAAACTTATAATGCTTTATGCAAGGTAGAAAATAGAAATCTGTACCTCTGGGAAAAGAAAGAAGGTTGAGATTGGCAAATTTTATTGTTGAATTAGCCATTTAGCTGGTATTCAGAATAAAGGATCAGAGAGAAAACCCAGTATCAAGAGGCATCTAGTCTATAACCATCTCATGCTATGAGTCTGTCCTTGTAAGTAATGCTTCTCATCAAGAAAGTACTTACATTGGGCCTCAGCCTGGCTGCCAGATCATAATACTTCTCGGCTGCTTCATTGAGGCTGGCCTGTCTGTTAAAGAAAAAAAAATCAAACTACATAATTTATTTTAAAATTGCAGATAAGTGAGCAGAATCATCATGCAGCAAAGTAATATTAACTCCTAAAAAACTAAAATCACACCAATCAGATAAGTTGCCTAAGTAGAAAAGTGCCATGAAAAAATTAATGCATGGCCCTGGCTGGTTTGGCTCAGTGGATAGAATGTTGGCCCATGGACTGAATGGTCTTGGGTTCAATTCCAGTCAAGGGCATGTACCTCGACTGTAAGCTCAATCCCTGGCCCTGGTCGGGGTGAGTGCAAGAGGCAACCAATCAATGTGTTTCTCTCACTTTGGTGTTTCTCTCTCTTTCTCTGTCTCTCCCCCTCCCTTTCACTGTGTCGGGTAAGGATTAACAACAAAAAAAAATAAATGCATGAAATGTACTTGTCATTGTCTTTAAGGCATTATAAGTAGTATCTCAACACAGTCAATATTATTATTTCAAATTTGTAATTAGGAATTACAAATGTTATTTTTGTTTCCCAAGCTAACCCAAATAATATGCTACAGAAGTAGGATTCTTTAGCTTCAACATGATGTCCCAGAAAAAATCGTAATTTTAAAAAATAAATTGTCAAAGTTAATCATGAGTTGCTTGTTTTATAAAAATAGTGAATATTTGCAAGTTTTTTTTTAAAATCCTGTATCTATCTACAAAGCCACTTTCTTTCCAATTTAGGAGGAAAACCTTCCACTGTATGTAGCCTACAGGAAAAAAAATGCCGGCTTCTCTCTCTCTGTGGTCTTAGGCCACCAGGCTGGGCATATGACAAAGCCTCAGCTAGCTGGATGTTCTTGTTTGGAAGGCTTTCATTTCTGAGTGAGTGACAGAAAGATGAAGGGATGGCTAGAGCTCACTGACAATGGTGGAAGCCATGGGGCTATGTCCTCATTAGACTCTTTCGGTAAAGAACTGCTTTTGGATATCCTGAATCTTGATCTCTGGGGCTACCTTGTTTCCTCATACTATGTTTTTCAGCCCATGTTGAATTCAGTAGTTCCCACAGCCTTCAGATTGCTAGAGTCAGTTTCTCTTTATTACTAACAAATACCATGAGTGGCACAGTTGACTTCTACAAATAAGACACACACTGAATTTTATACATGTTTATGCATTGTCTGGTCTTACAATTCAAGCAAACCCCTACATTGAGCCATGTGGTTAGCAGAATAAATAAAATGCTGGCATCCTGAGGAAGCCCAGCCAATTAGCCATCAAAACAGTATGTTTTTGATCATGTCATGTTACTTCAGAAAACTTTCAAAGATGATAGATTGTAAGAGCTAGAAGCTCTTGCAGGCTGTGTTGTAATCTGGTGACCATATTTGAGGGATGCAAAAGAAGTGCTATAGAAAAATATCAATTCGACTTCAGATGATCAACTCCAACTACAATGTGAACACAGTAGTATAAATGGATTCTGGCCCTACAGTTACTAGTAGATGCAGTAGTGTTCTCTTGAGATGGTGATGTTAAGAAGCCCTGGAGATAAGAAGATGGCAGAGTCAGGAATAAAGAGGAGAAGCAAACATTAACTTTCTCAATTACAAAACCACACTCGGGTTTTAAAGGAGAAGGCTAACTAGTCACACCTGTAAAATTGAATTTGCACTTTGGTCAAGCCAAATAAAAACTGTAAGGACATACCCCATGCAACCATTTAAATTATAGAAATAACTGAAGATAACATGTCTCTGGAGAGAAAGACATACTTTTTTAATTTTTAAAGGAGAAATAATTAGAAACACTGCTATTTTTAATGGGGTTATAGAGAAAGTAAAAACCCTTGACCTAAGGCTCTACTGGACTCGTGACATGTTACAACGTGCTGTTGCAATTTATAGTCTCATAAACGTTGAAGTTCAATTTCAATATGTCAAGAAAAGTACTTTATTCTAGTATGAAAGAGTAAAATTTCCCTCACTAGTGTATTTAATGAAGGTTCCCTCCACCGACTTATAGAATCACTTTGGTTCAGATTCATTTGGAAATTTGAACCAGAATTCATTAGGTCATGCCCTGGAAGGGTTTTCTCCAGGGGAAAATAAAAGGCACGGAGGTAGGAAATTAGAGTAACTTAATACTACAAAGAAGTAATTTACTTTGAAGAAAAATCAACCCCGTATAAGTTAACATAGAAGGCATAGCTACCAATTATATTCATTTATGAACATTCAAATTCATGAGGTAGATAAGGATCAAAGGAGAAACTGAGAAACTCACTAGATGAAATGCCTTTAAAACAATAATCAACATAAGTAAAAAAAAAAGTTTCCCTCCCCCAAAATATTCTTATTAGTTTTTAAAGTCTTTATTGTCTTCAGTGTTTAATTCCCAAAGGACATTACTTTAGAAGACTTCATTTAGAAGGCTTAGTTTCTTAAGCTAGAAGTAAAATTGATGATATGCCAATAAAATAGAAAAAAAGTAGCATTTATTATGTTTGTCATATAACTGAAAACTGATTTTTACTCTAGGACTTCTAATATTAAATGGTCTTCATTGACTGCTAGTCAGCAGGCATTTATGACAACACATGGCAAACCATAGGAAAAAGAGTATGTCAGTTCTATAAATGTACATTTATATCTGCTTCATTCTCTGGACAAGAGAACTCATGAGGAACTGTAAGGCCTACTTTATAGTGTAGGCTGTATTTCATACTCCCCTCTGCAACAAGTATCCTAGAAGTGCTTAAAACTGAATTGCAAAGATGACAGAATCATTAACCAACATTTGAAAACTGAGGAAATTAGAACTATTCTGCCAGTTGCGTAGAGGATCCTAAGGACTCCTAATTATAGAGAACCTCACCCACTGGATTTTTAGAGAGTGATTTCAGGACAACTGGGGTCAAAGTATTTCATTAAAGGTGATACAATATACTTTTCCTGGATAACAATAGCATTTCTTTCTTTACTATTTCTTTTCTGGAACAGAAAATTTCTGAAGTTGCTACTTATGTGTCATTTCTATTACAGGTTATTAAAACGAGGCTTAGAGAAGATGATGGTTTTCCTAAGCTTATACAGGGGTAGGTGGTTGAGCTAGATGGGAGTCAAGGCCTCCACACTTAATGTCTGAACCACAAAAACATGCTGGTATCTTTATACACACCAAGATGTAGCACAATAACATGTGGTATATTGTTCGTTGGCAGATGACCAAGACCATTCCTACATCACACAGTAAGAAAGGAAAAAAAAAACATGCTTTTTTATTATTATGTTTAAAACCCATAACTTAAATGTAAGAGATGAGATTTAAAAAGGGGAGCATAGCTCTGGCTGGTATGGTTCAGTTGGTTGAGCATCATCCCGTGTACCAAAAGGTTACAGATGTGATTCCCGATCGGGAGGCAATTTATCAATGTTTCTCTCTCTCATTGATGTTTTTCCTCCCCCCCCTCTCCCTTCCTCTCTCTCTAAAAAAAAACCAATAAAAACATATTTTTTAAAAAAGGAAATGGAAGAATATGGAGAACATTTGCAGTCTCAGGTTTTACTTCCTGCCTAACTCCATCTCCCGAATTGAGAGAAGTGAACCTCACCAGACCAAATTGAGCAGAGTATAGTTTTTAAGAACAGAGTGAAATGTACTATTCTGCTTTGCCCCATGGTCCTCACCTTCTCCCCGAAACAGGGAAGGGTAAGAACTCAGGGTAAAAACAAAGAAATAGGGAAGAAGGAAACACAAGAACAATATTGAGTGCTCACTGTCTTACTACCAGACCTCCCCTCTCTTTTTTTGGTGTGTGTGTGTGTGGGGGGGGGGTCTCATTTAAATAAAGAGGGAAACCATAAATTTCCTATATGTCCAAGTAGAAGACTCAGAAGGTGGGTTAAGGGGAAAGCAGTTAGCTTTGCCAAGAGATCTCCTACGCCAGATGTAGACAACCTTATGTGTTAGCCATAACGCATTTCAAAAGTAAATGATGACATTGTAAGAAAAATCACTTGTACCAAGAAGCTACACTGGGTCCAGATGAGTGACGATCCCTATCTAACATGCCACCCTAAGCGTCAACAGTATGTCCCATATGTACAGAATAAGGATATAATCATTATACCAACAACAACCTCAAATGGAGGCTTCTTTCTTATTTCCAACACTTGCCAAATCGCATATATAAGGCCCTCCCCCTTTTCACACTATATGTGATCTCTCAGGGCCAGGAGAGGTAAGGAAGTAAAAAAGCCCTAGATGTTTTTGTAAATTGCGCTATGAAGTAAATAATGAACCTTGAACCCACTGCCCAATTCACTGGATTGAGCTGGTTATATTTTAAAAGTCTTTAGATTCAGTTTTTCTGCCATCAGTGAAAAGGTAGCCTCAGAGTGAAAACATATGGTAACAAAATTCACAAACAAATACTATTTCTGATTATTATAGAATTCCATTTTTGCACGTGGAACTATAAAACTTACATCTGTTAAAAATATAGAAATATAATTCATATATCTAATTCCCCTCTCTGGTGTTATTTCATAATAGAAAATTATTTTTTTAGAACATAGGTTTATGGTCCAATATTCTTACAAGTAGAGATGCATAAAAGAAATTTTGGAATCAGTTATGTTATGAAACAGCAACTTAATATACCCTGTGAAATGTTTTAGGAAAATCTGATTAAAAGAATCACTTACAATTACCTACATTTTTATGTATTCCATGAGAATTATAAAATTAAAGCTCGCTAAATTTAAAATTACTTCCTTGAAATATAAAAAATAAAAAACTCTAGTTGCATTGAGAAGACTCTCTTTAACTACAGTTAATACTAGTTGTGAATTATTAAATTTGAATTAAAAATCATTTAATGTATTTAATAACCACTGTATGACTCATACAAAAGAATATTTTATTAAAGTCTTTGTGATTATTTTCAAGGGTAACTTATGAGCATTTTTTTTTTACTAGACAGCAGTTTGTTCCTATACCATGAAAGTAGAATGAAACAGTAGCTG